TATTGTAAAGATTTTTCGTGGGAGATATGTTTTTTTATGTGAGTGACGATAGAAATAGGAAATTAATTACAATCGCTCTTTTGTTCATACGACAGGGTTTTCCTGGATTACTTGTTTTATTGTGGGGTGGCTGCGTTGTGTTTTCCAAGATCAGTGTCTTATTGTAAAGATTTTTATGTGGGACGATAGAAATGTTTTTAATTACAATCGCTCTTTTGTTCATACGACAGGGTGACGATAGAAATCAGTGAAATGACGATAGAAATAGGAAATATATTAAAATCGCTCTTTTGTTCATACGACAGGGTTTTCCTGGATTACTTGTTTTATTGTGGGGTGGCTGCGTTGTGTTTTCCAAGATCAGTGTCTTATTGTAAAGATTTTTATGTTTTTTTTATGTGACGATAGAAATAGGAAATTAATTACAATCGCTCTTTTTCATACTACAGGGTTTTCCTGGATTACTTGTTTTATTGTGGGGTGGCTGCGTTGTGTTTTCCAAGATCAGTGTCTTATTGTAAAGATTTTTCGTGGGAGATATGTTTTTTATGTGAGTGACGATAGAAATAGGAAATTAATTACAATCGCTCTTTTGTTCATACGACAGGGTTTTCCTGGATTACTTGTTTTATTGTGGGGTGGCTGCGTTGTGTTTTCCAAGATCAGTGTCTTATTGTAAAGATTTTTCGTGGGAGATATGTTTTTTTTATTGACGATAGAAAAGGAAATTTTTCAATCGCTCTTTTGTTCATACGACAGGGTTTTCCTGGATTACTTGTTTTATTGTGGGTGGCTGCGTTGTTTTCCAAGATCAGTGTCTTATTTATGTGAGTGACGATAGAAATAGGAAATTAATTACAATCAGTCTTTTGTTCATACGACAGGTTTTCCTGGATTACTTGTTTTTATTGTGGGTGGCTGCGTTGTGTTTTCCAAGATCAGTGTCTTATTGTAAAGATTTTTCGTGGGAGATATGTTTTTTTATGTGAGTGACGATAGAAATAGGAAATTAATTACAATCGCTCTTTTGTTCATACGACAGGGTTTTCCTGGATTACTTGTTTTATTGTGGGGTGGATCCTTGGTGATTTCCGCGATCACTGGTTTTATTGTAGAGATATTTCATGGGAGATGTGGTTATTTATGTGAGTGGCGATAGAGATGGGAAATTAAATAAAATCGCTATTCTACACACGAGAGGAAGTACGGTGTACTAATGGATAGCGGCTCGGATTGAGGAATCGGAGAGCCGAGTTCGAATTACAGTAAAATCCATTACATTCACTTAGGTGCTAATACCCTTGGGAAAGGTATGTATCCTCTTCTTCGCCACCTCCCGAAGCTATTGGTAAATAGCAGGACATCGCAGAAAGAAATGGCAACATACTGCGGGCAAAATCTGCCTCGTCATTCATGTATCGAAGTGTGTATCATGCATGGCATATAACTGACTACTGATAGATAGATAGATAGATAGTGACACAAGTGTTATTAAGAACATCAAAATCGCTATCGTGTAATTTTATTTTGAAACAGCTTCCAATGTTTGGTAAACAGACTTGCAACAGTTGTAAGACTAAATTAAGAAGTAGTTTAAGTGTGACTGCCATTTCCTCGTTTAATTTAGGCGCTAACTTCTTCCCTCCACACCCCTCACCAGCTATGGGTAAATAGCAGGACAGACCAGGTTCTATAGCCTTTGATGGCAACTGGTCTACCGCAGAAAAAAATGGCAACCTACTTCAGAAAAAAATCTACCTCGTCAGACATGTATTGAAAGATCGCCTAAGCGTGTATCACGCAAGTCACATAAATGACTGAATGACGTACGACACGTTTTTAATTGCTATAGAAAAAATGGAGTCTGAGAAAAATGCTATTATTTTCACAAGCCAAGTACGCCTGGCGCAACAGAATTACAATGAACTGTCTCAGATGACAGAAACTACATCAGTTGAACACTTCCAACCGCAGTAAAAAGTAAAATGGATAATACTAAAATGAAATATTTCATGTTGACTTTCCACACTACAAAAAAAAAAAAAAAAAAAAATACAAAACATTGAAAGGGAAGCTCAACCAATACCAGAAAGAGCTATACGACCTAGTGGACTTAATCAGCCTATTTTCCTGAAAAAAATTTTTTGTTCGGTCAATGGATACTGATAGTTTTCCTTATAAAGAAACACCTTGGACACTTGTATCTCTAGATCAATTACTATTGAATTCATGAATTCGATCAGTACTAGGTGCCCCATACTTTCGGCCTTGTACCACAACTAAGCTGCGTTTAGTAAAACATTATTGGAGCAATTCGATGTAGTGTAATGGTCAGAAAGATTGCATCGCTAGATCAATTACGACTGAATAGATAATTCAATCCTCACTTGTTGCTCCATGCATTCAGCCTTTTGTCACATCTAAACTACGCTTAGTAAATCGTTACAAAGAAACTAGACCCACCATTCTCGTTCTATGTAACGCGTCCTTTCAGAACATAGTTGACCATGGCTCTCCACAACTTCCTATCTCGTGTGATGTCTCCCTTTGCCAAGCCTCCCGGCCCCCGTCTCTCCCATCCATTCACACAAGTATGTCCCATAAGTGACTCGCCGCTTTCACCTATCTCTCGTTCCCTCAATATGACCCGTGAGGGTTAAGTTTCCCAAACCCTCTTTTATCATTTTGTGTTCATGTGATTTCAGCTACCTTTTCTTGATACTGAGTAGAACTGTTCTTTCTGTTGCCATTTTTAAAGACGTCTTTGATGCTTACACGTTCCGTACATGGAATTTCCACTATTCTTCTGTATTTCCGATGTAAAACCATTTTTTTTTCATCCGTGGGGAAATTGTCCAACATTCACTCTCATATAAGAGGATGGATAACACATGGCAATCCAAAACTCTTTCACAATTAAGCGTATTTTGGTTGTAAATCCTACTAAATATTTTTTTTTAAATTATTTCACCCCCACACCAAGTAAGGCAGAAATGCCACTAGTGCGCAGGGCGTTACAGGGAGTGAAAATAAGAGAAAAGACTGAGTATAGAGAGGATTGGAGAAAGGACAAAAGTTGAACGGGATTCAAGAAGATAGAAGATGGCGACTGACGTTATATTTAAATTTTTGCAGATTGTAGTTATCAGGGAAGCAAGTAAATGAAACGGAGTTCCACAGCCATGAAGTGCGAGTAATTAAACTGTTGAAGTGGAAATGGCGGTTGCATTTAGCTATTTTAACATTAAACGGGTGGGACATAGATGCCAATCTAGTCGAACGCTTAAATTTATGTAGTCAGAGCACCAGGAGAAAAAAGCTCGTCAGAGCAGTTGCTATATAAATATTTGTAGAAAAGACAGAGGAGAGCCAGGCCAAGTTGGTGGGAAAGTGACTGTAGTCAAGATGCCAAATCAGGATCGATTGCATTAGAGATAGTTCTCTGGATTTTGTCAGGAACATTTAGATGAATAGCAGGAGCATTAGATATGACAGCAGTATTCTATGCAGGACGAGCGACTTACATTTGAGAATGTATTCTCGTTAGTTTGTTAGAGGTAACAGTTTAGGAATTTGCATGCTGTGTTGATTTCGTGCAACCCCTGGTCTACTATGGATTCAGATGTTCCCGGAGAAGAAACGAGACACGTCCAGATTCAAAGTCAACTTGTGGGCCATGAGCACAAAAAGAGAAATCTCGTTCTACGCGTCCCCTTATTGGTCACTAAACACGATCATTAACCAAGCAAAATAATGCCCAATATCAATCTACGAATTACACTTCTGCGCTGCCCTACATTTACAATCAGCTGATGTTCAGAGCTGCACCAAATGCACCTAGTCACTTCTACAACTTGACTTCCAGCGTCAAATTCGAGGCGAGATCGCCAACACTATCGTTTCAAAAAACTGCATTGATCTTATCCCCACCCACAACGCAATCAGTGCACTATCATAGATGTTTTGCCACCAGATTTTACTTAAGGCGTTATTCTGAACGCAAGAGTCACACGGTGAACAAACTGAACTAATTGTGTCTAGAAATAACTAACGAGAGAATGTACGTTCACGCACGCGCAGTAAAGTTTCACCTGATTGGATGCCAAGTTAAATCAAGTCTGCACATTTTCTCGTGATATTCAAAATGGCTTGATACCTTTTAGAGAGAGGTTACATGAAATCAAGTGCGGCACAGATCAAAGGAAATATAATTTAGATTAGACACCGCAGGGATAAACCAGAGCGTCTGTTTCATTTGCCAGGAGCAAAAGTATTGCTTAAAAAAACGTCAACGTTGTGATCAGACGAGCAAAAGACCTTATCTACTGAATAGTCTGGGAGTGATATCAGAAAGTTTTGAGCGGGTTATTGATTTTTCAATCTATCTCGATAAAATGACTCCGAAAATCTTCAACTCTATCAAATGGTTCTAACGGATTTTGACAGGACAAAAAGCTGATAATCTCTTTCTGAAATATGATTCCTCTCCAGTCAGTTTTCTTGTTTCTTTTCGGCTTTTTCTTAGACAAATTCTACAGATCATTTTTCGAGCTGTTTGCCGCTCACCGCGGCACTAATTTTATTTCAGTTATTTTTTTTTTATATTCGCCATCTTCATTTAGAAGGTACTTTTCCTCATCTCTTATCTGTGATAGGAGTAGCTCAGACATTCAAGTACAAAAAAAGGATAAAGGTCTTCTTCTCTTTCTTTCTTCTTTTTCTTTTTTTTATTGTTTTTGTTCTTTTAATGAAGAAATTCTTTTTTTTTTAATATGCGTTTTTTCTTTCCTGCGTTTCTTGTGCTAGAGTTCTTTTTTGCCTATTTTCCACCCCACCATCTTTTCAACTTTTTTCTAGTTTTTCACTATGCCTATTTATTGTTTTACTATCTATTTTTTATTTTTTGTTTCCAATTCGTTTGTTTATTCCCTCCTAATATTTTCTTTATTTTAAATCATTTGAAAATTATATATATTTAAATCTTTTCTTTATCTTTTTCAATGCTCAGCTTCTTCCTTCGTGTCTTTCTTTCATTCTTTCTTTCTTTCTTTCTTTCTTTCTTTCTTTCTTTCTTTCTTTCTTTGCAAGCTTACATTCGTTCTTTATATGAAAATACATAGTAATAATAATATTAACGCTTTCTCTTTTTTATATAACTTTTCTTTAACTTTACTCAGCTTCTTTCTTTCATCTTTCATTCTTTCTTTCCGTCCTTTCTTACTCTCTTTCTTTCTTTCTTTGCAAAATTTCATTCGTTCTTTATAGGAAAATAAACGGTAATAGTAATATTATAACTTCCCTTTTTATATAACATTTCTTTAATTTTTTCCGTACTCAGCTTCTTTCTTTCTTTCTACTTTCCCTCTTTCTTTCTTTCTTTCTTTAATCGTTCCTTTTTTCTTTCCTTCCTTTCTTACTCTCTTTCTTTCTTTCTTCCTTTGCAAACTTTCATTCGTTCTTTATATGAGAACACACGGTAATAGTCATATGAACTCTTTCCGTTTTTATATAACTTTTCTTAACTTTTTCAATACTTAGTTCTTTCTTTTTTTTATTTCATCTTTCTTTCTTTCTTTCTTTCTTTCTTTCTTTCTTTCTTTCTTTCTTTCTTTCTTTTCAAGCTTTTATTCGTTCTTTATATCAAAATACACGGTAATATTAGCTGTTTCTCTACAAGGAAACTTTTGGCATTTATTAACCGAGTAGCCATTATTGCTTTTTATTGAAATCTATAAAATCTTTCTATTAAAACAACTTTTCAGGGAAAAGAAGTTTCTCAAGTCCAGTAGCTGTTATCTCTCTTTTCCAGTATTTTTATTCGAAGTAGTGTGAAATGTTAACACGACGTCAATACAGACGTCAATTCAGTACTTCAATCTATTTTTCTTTTTCTTTCTTTTTACATATTAATTTATTTTTCTCGTGATGTCTTTCATACTTTGTTCATATTCCTATACTTCTTTTCTTTCTTGAAACTCTTTTTTCCATTTGATTAATATCTTCTATCTTTCTTTCTTTCTTTCTTCAATAATTTAGATATTTTGATCTCTTTGATTGTGTAAACTAACTCAAGTATAAGACCCACACTTATCTCTGCTTAGTACAAACTATACCCGCTGTCTTATTTCTATTCAGACCCCACTGTAATCTCATCCATCTACTAAGACACCAACCCTCCTTCGCACTGCTTAACATGTTGCATATTTCACACGTCTAAACTTTTGTGGCGTCCAAGTGGGAAAGGTAAATTATGACACGATATGTTGAAGCCGTGATGGGTACCCATTGTTCGTCCTAAATCCCGGAAGCGAGCCAAGAACTCATCTGTTGCCACTTAACAAGAAAGCGATTGAAAAAGGAAGTAAGAATGCTGCGCAGACTCTTTAGGCAAAAATGGGTTTCAGAGAGAGAAAAGGTTCTTGGAAAGATCAAAGAGGAGCTCGTCTTTCTCTTTCATCGTCTCTGTGTGCTCACGGAAATTTTGAAATGAGATAGATTTGAACAAATTAATATATAGAGAGATAGAGGGACATATAAGAACATATATATATATATATATATATATATATATATATATATATATATATATATAAGACAATAAATAAGAACAGATAGATAGATATGAACACACTGACAAAGATATATACTTATCGCAAAACATCAGTTTGAAAATTTTCAACAAGTGTAGTACAGAGTTGTGACACTAGCCTTCGTGAGCTGTACCCTAAAACAAGATTAAGATAGACAGAGAATGAACAGAGAATATATATATATATATATATATATATATATATATATATATATATATATATATATATATATATGCACGCCACTATGTTGGCTGATTGAATTTAGTAGTCGAAAGAAATTTTTGGGAAAAGCCACCTAATCCAGTTGGGGACCCTAAAAAAAGCCAAACTGGGCCGAACTCGTGGCAATTGTTGTAAACTATACCAAGAAGAAAAGCTAAAAATATTTATATACCATGACCGTTCTGAATTGTTGAATTCAAGGACTGAAATTATTCCAAAATGTAGATACATAAGAAAATAACTTATAGGTCTATATGAAGCCGGATAAATGTAATTAATACAATTTCTTTTTTTCTCATCCACCTTCTATCCTACACACTTTCGGTATAAATAAAATAGTCGGTGTGTGCCTCCCTCAAAACCGTCTAGTAAGCCACCTGATGAGATCACAAGATCGAAACCCGGGTCGGAACTCTTCTGTTCGATATTAGCATAAAAAGTTCACGGTAGATGGCTTGTTTCGCCATGTAGACTACGTAACATTTATCTTTCGAGTACATTTCAGCTAGTCTGTCTTTAACGTTAAATGTGCATAGTAGTGAGTTAACGGAGACGTTTTACGTTTAATAATAACACGATATTCATATCGTGAGTAAGCAGATATGATTATTCACACGGGTCCGCGAATGATAATGGACGCGAGGCTGCACGGCTGTATCAGATTGCATTTTTAAACCGAAGGTAGCTGAGTCATCCAGCCTTTGTTGCTGTTTTTCGTCGCGTTGCTGAGACTGGATCCGTGGCACCAAAAACTATGGATTGAAGAAGACCGAGATACACTCGTACGCCTGATTACGAAGAAAATATTCTACAGGATGTCGGAGAGGATCTAGGCATCCGCAGATGTCAAGTGGCCCTAGCATGTCGTACATCTCATAGTATCGCATGACGATTACTTCAAGAGCAGCTTCTGTATCCGTAACATTTGCGACGTGTCCTAGGTCTTTTGCCCTCTGGCCACTCACCGCGGGAGAACTATTGCCGATGGTTTATTGCACAAACTGTCAAACCGTTGTCTTTGTATGGACTGTTTTTTCTTGTTTCGGTATGAGGAACCCACCCAAAGTTTTTCAAAATATTTATGATGCACCCTGTATATATATATATATATATATATATATATATATATATTTATATAAAATGATTTTTTAAAAATTCCATCGCTACATAAGAGTTATCATGTTTCAAAACAAGAGCCGAAAACTTCAATATAATTATAATAACAAAAATACTAAAGAACATTGGATTATTAACCTAACGAGTTCTTTCCTATGTTCTATATATTTTCACACACACACACACACACACACACACACACACACACACACAGATATATATATACATATATATATAGTAAAATTGAATTGAGAAGAAATATAACGACTGCTAGTTTAGCGCCTAAATTAAACGAGGAAATGGCAGTCACGCTTAAACTACTTAATTTAGTCTTACAACTGTTGCAAGTCTGTTTATCTAACATTGGAAGCTGTTTCAAAATAAAATTACACGATAGAGATTTTGATGTTCTTAATAACACTTGTGTCACTATCCATCTATCAGCAGTCAGTTATATGCCATGCATGATACACACTTCGATACATGACTGACGAGGCAGATTTTGCCCGCAGTATGTTGCCATTTTTTCTGCGATGTCCTGCTATTTACCAATAGCTGCGGGAGGTGGCGAAGAAGAGGATTCATAACTTTCCCAAGGGTATTAGCACGTAAGTGAATGTGATGGATTTGACTGGCATTCGAACTCGCCTCTCCGGTTACTTAATCCGAGCCGCTATCCATTACTCCACCGCGCCTAAATGAACAAAAAATTGTACCAAAGAATTTAAATATTGCTTAAAACAGAATACATTCTTTTAAAGGGACCTTTTCCTTCCAGCAGAAGATTCGTTGAAACGGCAATAATAAAAACAGCGAAACTGAACATGGCAGACACTGCAGATAAATAAGATGTCACGACTAAAATAAATGTTATGCTAAGAACAAACAAATCGGTGTAAATAACCCCTTGTGAGTAGAAAACATAAAGAAGAATTACTCAACATCCATTCATGAGACAGAGAACAAAGAAAGTTCTCATTCTGCCTGCACAAAAGTGGCCAATGAAGCTTGATGTAAACGGTTTCTAGAAACCGTAAATGTCAACAACCCGGGTTATTAATCAAATGAAGTCCAATCGCTGACTCACAAACTGAGCCAAGGCATTAATGTTACACGATACACCCAGTCTCATATAGACAGGCATGTGTTGTTCAATCCGGGTCTCTAACGACTATTTGGTTAGCCCTACATTGTCAGCTTCACACTGACATTTAAATTGATAAAATGATATATATATATATATATATATATATATATATATATATAATATGAAAGGTTACTGAATTTGATATCCGTGTTTGAAATATACGCCGTATTTTTACTTTAAGCATTGTGTGCGATGTCTATCAACCAGCGTATTCAAGAAATGTCAATAAAGAATATGTTCTCTCCGGCAAGAAACGAACCTGGGAGCATATTTTTTTTTGTTGATATTTATTGAATACGTTGGTCGATAGACGTGATACACGCTGTTTAAAGTTAAAATAAAACATTAAGCGTCTAATTCATATATAAGTATCCAACGTAATAACATTTGAAGTAATACATATGTGTGTGTATCAGGAGGCACGGTCGAGTAGTGGATAGCGGCTCGGATTGAGGAATCGGAGTTCAAATTCCAGTCGAATCCACATTCACTTACGTGTTAATACCTTTGTATTGAGGTATTAATCCTCTTCTTCTCCCTCCATGGATAAATAGCAGGGTAGACTGGGTTCTAAATAATTGGATTGCAACTTGTTCTGGAGAAGGACAACTCCGAATTCAAAACCTGCGGAGGATTGTTTGGGGACCTTGTGGTACGTAGTGCACCGGGTGTCTGTATTCGGCCCTTCAGAACAAAACAAAATAAAACAAAACCACCATTATAATCAAATCATATGTGCTGGTGTCTAACTGTCGTTTCCTAGAAACTGAGTTGCTTGACCCTCATAACAACAAGCACAAATCTTTTTCTTGTATTTACAGGTAAGAATAATTGTCTGTTTGGTATATTAGCGTTATTTTAAATTTACCTTGATTACATTTGTAGACGTGTTGTAAAGACGTGTTAAAAATAGTTTTCTGCCGTCGGGTAATTCGATGTTGCTTTTGCGAAGGGAAACTGTGGTTTAGTGCTTGGCTGATACCTATATATGATTTCTTGCATTTTGTGCATTTCAGTGCATAAATCAGATTTTCGGATTGCAAATACAAGGAAAAAACTTCATAAACAAATTTAAACCAGCACTAAATAGATCATAACCTCACACACAACAAAACACAGCATACACACATAATGACCAAATATAGTAGTAGATTCTGTTATGCTGACATAGAAGATTGCTATGCGACGGTAACGGTCTCAAAATATCAGACGGAAATCGTAAATTCATAATACATTTCTATGACGTTGTACCGAAATGTTAACAAGAGAACAATATGAAATAATATATATATATATATATATATATATATATATATATATATATATATATAAACGTTTATCAGTAGTCCAAGAAAGACATTTGAATCACTACCACGCAAAAAATTCATTTTTATAATATATGGAAATATCTACTCTTTGCTTGAAGAAGGTCTCGAAACAGGAAACACGTGCAGCAGAATTATGGAAAATAACATATAATATATATTAAAAATGATATATAATAATAACATATATATTAAGAAAATAATATATATAAAAAAATCACATTTCAACCAAAAACGTTTGTTGGTTATCTTCTTTTAAAATCTTTTATAATAATATTTTATATATATATATATATATATATATATATATATATATATATATAAGAAATATAGTCTTAAGATGTGCTATATTTATGTGATAAAGTGATCAATATCAGAGATAGAGCGTGTGTAAATATAAAAGTGAACTTAGAAGTCAACACTTAGAGGCGACAGACTGTTTCATGCTAGATGCAATCGTCAGGCCTGACGATTGCATCTAGCATGAAACTACTATATATATATATATATATATATATATATATATATATATATATATATTTAAGAATATTTATTTTAAGTAAATTTAATGTTATCTAACATTTAAAAATGATATA